CACGGTCCGCGCCCTGCCATTAGGCTACTGACGCTTCAATTTATTAGTCTAGTATTTATAAGAAATTCTAGGACTTTAGATAAAACAGGTAGTACTGATATTGGCCTGTAATTGACGACACAGCACTTGTCTCCACTCTTATAGATGGGATGAACCAGAGCTTTTTTGAACACTGATGGAAATGTGCCTGTTGAAAAACATAAGTTAAATATGTACTCTAGAACTGGTATCAGAACATGTTTCGATTCTTTAATTAAGGTGGTTGGAATGCCATCATGTCCCATTGCACAGCTTTGCCTAAGTCCCAGGATAATGTTCTCAATTTCCCTATCATCAGCATCCAGCAAAGCCATGGAGTCAGACACAGAATTAACAGTTTCATTTCTGGAATTGGAGATTGACACATCAGAAGGACCTATAGTTTTATTGGATGCCATATTTTTTGCCCACGTTCGCGAAAAACCCATTAACTGTATCAACAGCGGACTTGGAATCATTAGACGTAGTCAACAGTTCCTCAGAAAGAGAAGCTTTTTGATGTAAGTTTGTAGATTTTTTGACGAGTGTCCATAATTTCTTTGGATTTTTGTTATGCTTTTGAAATTCTGACTGCACATATTCTTTTTTGACTTTTTTAAGCAAGTTGTTGCAAAAATTTATGTACCGTTTATAAGTAATAATTAAGAGTTCGTTTTGTGGATGTTTTTTAACTTTACAAAAAAACTTGTCTCTGTGTTGGACGCAACGCAGCAAGCCCGGAGTTATACACGGTTAGATAATGCTCTTTCTGCTTGAAATATTGATTTCGCGCGTGTTGCTTCGATTATTTGAGGACAGAATTTCAGTCAAACAATTTGCTGCATATTCCAGGTTTCCAGCACGTCACTGAAATCACGGCTCTCAAGTTCAACCACACAGGCCTTTATATCAATTCGTTTAACTGTACGGGTACTTTTAGATTGACAAACTTGACCATTCAGCTCACAGAAAAATAATAATGGAGAGTGATCCGTAAATAATGAATCAAGGACTAAAGTTACTGAGCGGTTTTCACTTTTAAGTATCACATGATCAATACAACTTCTGTCACGAGTAGGGAATGAATGAGCCCGTAGCATTGAGTGTGATGCTAATAGACCAAGATATGAGTGGGAGTTTTGATATGAGTGGAAGTTTTGATCGTTATTATCTGCGACTATATTTATGTTTATGTCACCAACAATGGCAATGGTTTTGAAAGATCGCAGAGCGGCCAAGATGGTGTCTAATGTTAGCAAAGCTTTCAATATTTTTACAAGATGGGGAACAATAAATGGCGAGCATAACCACAGTAATGGAAAGTTGGATATTCAAACAGCTTGCATTAGCCAAAGATGGCTCATTAACTTTTGCAACAATATTTTCTCTTATGTAAATTGCCACCCCATCACTTTGGTTGCAATATTTGGTGCTATGGATTTGATAGCCAGGTAACTTGGGAAGATAAGGACACTTACTCAGCCAACACTATGATAGTACAATTACGTCTAGATCAAGATTTATTATTTTCAGGAGAATCTCAAAGTTACTAAAATTTGTAGTACAACATATACTTCTTATATTTACGTGGAATACCTTAAGATTATTTAGTGAATTATTTATGTATGTTGAAGCGTTTTTAGGAGAACAAATGTAAGACTTACTAATAGATACGTTATCAATTTCAGAGGTTATTTGTTACTTACAAATCATCCATAATTTGCAATTAAATACAAAAACGCTTATGATTTTTTCGCACAGTTTGGGCCTTGCTTTAACTTTGGGTTGTTCAAGCTTGACTACATGTGGATACGCGAATAGAAGGAGTAGTGAATGAATAAGTATACTGTTTAAATGATTATGCAGGGAGAAAGTTAAAAAAATTAGTGTGTGTGTATTAGTTGTGGTTTTACAAATATCATTCATCATGACAGTAGAAGGCAGAAAAATATTAAGTCGGCCAAGGTTAATATCACAAAGTAATTTCACTAAAATTAAGTGTATCAGACAGCTCACCTGTAATAACATTAATACTATTCATTTTACTTTAACTATTTTTTTTAGATCTGATTCATCCTTAATCAAGTGGAATGGAGACCCATCTTTTTCCCGAATAAATATTTTCCTATTAGACGACCAACAGTATTTGTATTCGTTACTATTAGCGAATACACGCGTTAAATAAAATAATCGCTTCATCTTCGCAGTGAGGATTTCGGAAATGAAAATGGGTCTTTACGGGCTACTCAGTTTAATGTGTTCTGTATTAAGTTTTGTGGGACTATTGATATAACTTTTGTATGCTTTCAGTAGGGTGTCCTTTGTGGTGACACTAGCCAGATCAACTATCACATTTTTTTTTTCAGGGTTTCTAGTGGTAATGCGGAATATGTTTTTAATGTCCCTTGTTTGTATATTTACTTTAAGAACTTTTCAGATATTGGTTACAGTTTCAATGAGAGTCTCCTTCGACTCATGTTTGTTAATTGGTATATTTTTAATTTCCACACAGGTGCTTCTTTCGAAGTTTTCCAGTTTAGTCTCTAGTGATTGAATGTAATTGCCATGTTGAGAATTTTCTTTCTTGAGTTTATTGACTTGTTCTATAAGCGAGTCGTATTTAGTAGACAAGAATTCAATAGACAAGCTAATCTCTGAACTTGAACGTGAACTTTAATTTGTATCCGAAAATTCCTACTTAAAGTGGGAAATGACAAAAAGTAGAATTGTTGTGTACGAAATTAATAAAGAAAGAGAACTGGCAGAGGGAAATAATCATGCGAAGCGAGACCATCGGGCTGAATGGTCGATCGTTTGTAGCAACAAGTTCAAAATTGTTGATCTTACCTGAAGCTGCGAGTCAATCGCGCGCTCCGCCACTAGTTCGGCGTGAACACAAACAAACAATTTCATACGATTGATATTGCCATGAGTGCGCCGCGCGCGATAGTGCCAGCTTGCTCGCTACTTCCACCGCATCTGCGTTTTGGATATGAACACTTGCATGTAATGCTATGTGTTTGATACTAGGTGACCGCGCTTGCCACCGCGCCCTCCACCGCGCCCTACACCGCGCCCGCCACCGCGCCCGCCACCGCCCCCGCCACCGCGTCCGCCACCGCACCCGCCACCGGGCCAGTAGTGCTTGTTCATGTTAACTCGCGAGTGAGGTCGCAGGCGCGGTCACGAAATATCAAACACATATCATTAACCGCTTCAACTTAACCATTCAATGACCTCTTCATTCGCTATCAGTTTTCTCTCTCTGGATCGCTGAGATATCACTGAACAGTCAGAATGACGTCTGGTCACCATAATGAAATCAAACCGCGAAAAAAATTTGTGCCGATTATGGACCTAATGCAATGTCAGTAAGAGTAGCACAAAGTTGGTTCAAGCGTTTTTAGTTCGGAAATGTTGATGTCAAAGATGCAGCTCGCTCTGGTCACCCTCATACGGATAAAGTCGATGCCATTTTTGAAAAAGTGGAGCAAGAGCGGCATATTAGTAGTTACGACATAGCCGAGGAATTGAGGATAGACCACGAAATAGTTTTAATCCATTTGAAAAAGTCTGGCTATACAAAAAAAAAAAACTCTATATTTGGGTACCACACGAAAACTAACTGGGAACTGGGTCTTACATCACTGAAAGAAACCTAAAGAAACGTGTACTTATTTGCGATTCTCTATTGGAACGAAATTAAGCCAAACGATTTTTGAAAGGATTGATCACTGGTGATGGCAAGTGGATTACCTGCGACAAGATTCATGGTCAAAGGGTAGTCAAGCTCCACAGACTTTAGCGAAACCCGGATTAACACGCAATAAGGTGATGCTGTGTGTATGGTGGGATTGGGAGTGCATTGTTTATTATGGGCTTTTATCGCCGAGCAAAACCATTGATTAGGATCTCTACTGCCAAAAAGTAAAGAGACTCTAGCAAGATATTGAAAAAAAAAACGACTGGAATTTATCAACAGAAAAGAAGTGGTCTTTCATCATGATAACGCCAGAGCACACACATCTTTGGCCACTCAGCAAAAATTGAGAGAGTTTGGTTGGGAAGTGATAATGTATCCATCATATAATCCTGATCTTGTACCCTCAGATTTTCACCTTTTTCGGTCTTTTTAGAATTTATTGGGTAGTGTTAGGTTAACATCAAGAGAGATTTTTGATCAAACATTTCAAGATTTCTACAGCAACGGGATTATGTCACTACCTTCAAGATGGCAACAAGTTATCGAACAAAATGGCACATATATTATAATTAATTGTAATTAAAATTAAAAAAAAAAACGTCACATATATTAAATACGAAGAAAATTTTCCCCGACCTATTATGGCTCAGAATACCGTGATAAGTTTAAGTGGCTCCTAATCGGCCTTCGTTGAAATACTCATGTTATTCTGCTCTCTACTGCGCCTTATTTAATATACCACCTTATCTCAAGAATGTTTTCATCTTCTCAGTTCCTCTCGTTATATTTCCCTTGGACCTTGGACTTGGTAAGCGTATAGGTCACGCTAAGTGTAGGTTATTAGTATACGGAGTCGTTAGAAAATTTTTGAATTCAATAAAAATATTTCTTTCTTCAACAGATTTACTTGTGCTAATTCCACTTGTGTAAGGGCAAACGCAAAGCTACTGAATTGCCACGAATAATATCATAATAAATAACTAAGTTATGTTTATGATTTCTACGAGTATATTCTATATTTTAACACATGCAATCAAATTATCGATTCCTAATTCATCAAAGGTCTCTAAGCTTTAATAAATCAGTGGGAGTTCTTGTAGATAGGAGAGATACATGAACGATAAAATGATTTTTAATGTAAGAGTGTGAGAACATCCATTTGAACTCAGCATGAGGTTGTTAGACTGTCTCTATATATATACAAGGGCTTTTCTAAGTTTTTCATACGAAAATTGTTCCTACAGAACGAACAACTTGATAAAGTTAACAAATTTTAAAAATGAATTTTTACCTATTTGGTCGTTTTGGTTTAGTAATTTTGTATATTACATTAATTAGAGAAAAATTGGTAAAAGCACAAGAAATCCACTTGCCGCCAGGTAATTTTAAAGAAATAGGGGATAGGGATAGTAAAGTACAATAATTAATTAATTAAAGTTAAAGTTGCAGCTTGTGTATACATCCCACTGCTATGCACAGACCTTTCTGAGGTGTTTTTTTTATTTCTCAGACATGCAGGTTTCCTCACGGTGTTTTCGTTTACCACCGAGCTCATGGTAAATCAGCACTTAAAATTATAATTAGTAATTTCATTGGTGCCGGCGGGGATCGAACGCGAGTTGCCCGCGTCTGTGAAATTTACAGCGAGCACTTAGCCCCTGAGCTACCGCAGCTCACACACGACTCAAATAATTAATTAATGTCGGTGTGTAAATCAATATATATATACTTAGATTGGCTTGAAATAAGTAAGCTGTTATTTATTTTGTGCTTATTACTTTTTTACATCTTTACATATGTTTCTTTAACCGTGACTAAATATCTCTGACATATAATAAAACGACTTTACTATTTTTTTAAAACGAAATAATGTACTTGTGCAGTGATTCCAATTTTCGTATACATTTTTACCAGAGTCCATGATAGTTTGAAATCAGATCAACACTCACTACTTACAAATTTATCAAATATTTAGGTAGCTTGTTTCATTACAAAATAAAATAACTTGAGTTTATTTTTACAGGGCAAGAATGTCAAATGACGCCTGTTATTCACGTGCTTCAACATGCTGGTTGTGTACCAAAACCAATACCATCTTATGCTTGCATCGGAAAATGTACCAGCTATGTGCAGGTATCATACTTTAGTACAATTAAGTAATAATTTAATTAACATTTTACTATATTTAACTGCCACTGTTTTAAAATGTTAATAGGTGTCTGGTAGCAAAATTTGGCAAATGGAGCGATCGTGCAATTGTTGTCAAGAATCAGGTGAAAGAGAAGCAACAGTTGTGTTATTCTGCCCAAAGGCCAAAAGTGAAGAAAAGAGATTTCGAAAGGTATAAATGCCAACCATTAAACAAGCAACATTTGTCTGTATTTTAAATAATTGTCATTGACTTCACAAATAGTAGGGTTAACATGTTTAATTAAACTTAAAACGGCTTATTATGATTTAAGAAGAATCCTTCTCACAAAGGGAGCCACTTAGCCGCAGTTCTACAGTCTTCTCGAAATTTTACATTTACTGTGAAATTCCAAACTTTACATTTTAGTCCTCATATTTCCACGGGGCCTCTTTCGTGAAACAGTTTATAGTTTATACCTGGGCCTAATTTTATACTAACTTTCGTAATAAAACAGAAAACGTCATACTACATAAAAGATCGCTTGTGTTCCGAGGACATGTGAATCCCACCAGCACACATTGGGGCAGCGCTGCAGACTTATTGTTCTATAATCCTCTTCGATCTGAGTGGAGATACAGGCCTTAAACACAATGGTGAATATATATAGGCTATAACTTTACTTTATATGGATATGATATTTGTTGTATTTACCCTAATATTCAGAGAATTTATAATTTATTTTATCAAAAAAGTGTCATATGTGGTAACTAGAAGGAATAACAGAGTTGCTAACATTTGTTTTATAATTATTTTTAGGTGACTACTAAGGCTCCTTTAGAGTGCATGTGTCGTCCTTGCGGTACCGTAGAAGAAAGTGCCATCATACCGCAAGAAATAGCTGGTTATTCTGATGAAAGCCTACAGAATCACTTTAAGAAAGCTTATTAAAATATTCGACGGAAACTTTCATATACAAATATCTAAGAATTTATAATTTCAATCTAGAATAAAGACCATTGACCAAAAAGGATTTTTGTATTTATATTTTCTATTTATTTTGTAATATAGCCATACTTGAGCCAGTAGCTCATCTCACTGAAATATGTGACTAATATTTTGTACCCTAACATAAAAACTTATTACAAATACTGGCAACTCTCCTGGTTAGAGTAGCTACGGCGGAGAGATCGTTTTCTACTCTACGCAGAGTTAAATCTTGGTCACATGTGTCAATGACAAGGAAAGCTAGTTATTTATTATTAACTAGCTTTTTACCCGCGGCTTCGCTCGCGTGGTCTTCTTTTTTAGAAACATCATTAAATGTATTCCACGCCAAATTTAGTAAAGTTCGATCACTTTTAGAGACAAGTCGGTGTCTGTGGATCTATGTCAGTTTTTCAAAGAATTTTTTGAATTCCCAAAGACTATTGGACCTAGATGATTGAGGGATACGTGCAGAAATAAGTTTTTCAGAATTACATTAATATCATATGTCTAGAAATATCTACAATTTTTTTTATATTGGACCTGTCTTCCGATGTATCTACCCATAACAAAGATAAATAGTCTTGGAATCCAAATTTACTATTTATTATTTACTCTTTACATTCATTCATAATTAATTTTTATCAAAATAATGATGAGTTCATGGTCTTATATGCGATATTTGATTCATATCATTGTTTCCATTTAATATTGATTGGCACCATAAAATAGATTCTGATGTTTTTTCTACGTTCGAGTAGACTTCAAAATTTCATAAATGCAGTTCTGATAATGATGAATACTACACATATGATAAAACAAATTGTAATAAATTACGTTACATTTTAACTTCTATTTAAGCGGGTTGTACAAAACACATCTTTGGAAGAAAGTTCCATAAAAATTTGCGTAAAACAACGTATTGCTGATGTGAAGCACCGACGCTACGAGAAGTCTGAAAGTGTGTCAACATGTTGAGTATCGTCCCAACCATTATATCAGATCTGATAGACAACAAATAAACCCCCGCCGCCTCTCCATGGGTTCTGTATATTGCCCGAAACGTCATCAATTATAAAAGTTAAAATTAAACACGCTAAAATCCTTATGATTACTTTTATTGCAAATGAAGTTCTATTATCTTATATCGTTCCGTGTGTGTCTGTGTCCTAAGAGGCGATAGAGGAAAACAAATAGGAGATGGGGAACATCATGTTCCTGACAACAGTTCAAAATAATAAATGCTGCGGATGCCAACCTGCCTGCCAAGCGTGGCAACTATAGCAAATATCCAGCCTATTTGACAAGTTATGGGCGAGACCTATGTTCAGTTCAGTGGACTTTTGATAGGTTGTAATGATAACGGTGATCAGTTCTATTCTTTCGAATCTATGCTACCTTTAATATTTGCGGTAGTGTGAAAACAAAAACGTAACATCTCCGAAAATATAAATGATATAAAAACAGCATAATTGCCCCATTAAAACTAAAAAAAGTAGCGACCTACATACATATCACTACTGGGCATAGGCCACAGAGCTTTTGGCCAAAAAAAGTGCCAACGCTGGATCACCTCAGCTGGGGAACTTCTCCGATAATCAGGTTTTCTTTCACCGCCGAGAACGTGGTAAATCGACACTTCAAATTGCATTTAACATATATGTAAAAATATATAATAATGCTTGTGTACTATGAAATTTACCTTTGCCTTTGACAAGTAAAATAAAATATATCTTTGTTTAAGAAAATCTGCAATCTTCGATATTTAAAGTATTTATCGTAACAGCCTGTTCATTTCCATATCTAATGTGAGCTATGAAACCACTACTGTCACAAAAATCTTGATTTGTCTGATAATATGAAAACTCAAAAATACAAAAATCCAACAAACTGATTTATAAGTCTCATTAAAGGTATAAAAACTAAAGTAGCAGCTTACATACGTCTCACTACTGTGCACACGGCTCCCCATTACCTTTAGTTTGTGAGCAGAAAAGAGTATGCCGCAATCCTTCCACTACTACTCCGACATTTAGGTTTGCCCACGAAGTTTTTCTTCACCACTTCACTGGGTACCTATGTAGTAAGTCAGTACGTAAAATTTCCCATAACAGATTCATTTGTCCTCAAAGGACTCGTACACGTTTTGCTCCCTTGCCGTGATGAAATCTCACGGCGAGCTACACGGCTCTCGTATTTGTTTAAATAAAATTCATAAAAACTGAAACAGCTTTTGTACCATTGTTGACCATATCTACCGAGTAACTGGAAACGCAACGATACCACGAACTATTAATTTCCAATTATTTACATCAGATAACGTGATAACATATGAAGTAGGTAAAATGAAACCTATGCCGACAGACAAACAATATATTGAACTAAAGAGCTTCTCTCCTAATCTCAGTTTTGTGTACAACAGTGTTGTTAGCCATTTTGCCAAACGTGGTTATTGTGATAAATAATCCCAATAATGACCACCGGTCTAGATATTTTTAAGTGTGATAATTTTTGATGCTGCAGGAATAAGAATTCGGTAGCATTCTAAAATTTAATTTTATCAGTTACTTATCATTAGTTTATTTAGAGAAAGTAGAGGACGCTATATTACATTAATACTATGAAAGTCAAAACTATACTATCTAGTAATATCGGCTATAGAAGAAAGAAGGCTCAAGAGCCACCCCAAAACCGGGAACATTTATTTATTATATAAAAAAGGCAATAAGTGATGTTGATTCTGTTAAAAATCTGTTTCCATTAAAAAACACGCTATCAGCGCCGCTAGCGGTGAAAAACTATTTGACGATATGAAGATATTGTCATGAAATAGCAATATTGTGTTAAGTTAGTGATATCGTTAAACGATCTCTATTCTTTGTTTGGCTAAGCTATATTATGACATGGTCAACAAACAGTGATAAATATCATGAAATGACACCATTTCACGAAATAATGATTTCATGAGAATTTTGCAATAATTGCAGAACGGATCAGTTTTAATCAGTTTACATACAGATATAGTATTAAACGTATGAAAATTGATATATTTTTTAGTTCAAAATAATATAAATGTTCATATTACGTTTGATAGATAATGTCATTATGTTTTTAGATAATAGATGTCACTTTTATCTATCATTTTTTAAATTTTAATTATTGCACTTTTAAAATGAAATAACGATTAAATTAAGACTTAGGATTTTAAAATAATTTTATTAATGTAATTATTTAAACATATAAATGTAAGTTATTTATATAATTTATTAGTTACTAAAGGCAAAATGTAGGCTTTTTTCATTTGATGATAGATGGCGCTGTTTTGATAATTAAAACGTATATCGTCAGCGGAGTTTCAAATTGTTATGCAAGGGTTAAAACTAATTTAAACTAAATTTACAAATATAATATTTCTTTGAAAAACACCCGTCATCCCGCCTATTAACTAAAATAATTCAAATAATTTCTTCCCATTCCTACAAAAATTATGCTCGCACAGTCTCTTCTCATTCCGATCCTCGACTATGCTGACGCAAGCTATGTAGACATAACTGAGGACCAGCTAAATAAGCTTGAGAGACTTCAAAATACTAGTATTCGGTTCATATTTGGATTGCGCAAATATGACCATATTTCCCATTTTCGCTCACGTCTCAAGTGGTTACCTATCCGACTTCGCCGGAACATGCATATTCTTTCTATTCTTTAATGTGTATTATTTCATCCTTCTGCTCCTCTCTATCTAAAAGAGAAGTTTAATTTTGTGGGGCTTTAGGGGGAACCTCTACGCTGTTCTATAAAATTAGTTTTAAGGGTACCAACTCACAAAACATCGTTTTTTAATAAATCGTTCACTGTCGAGTCTATTAAGCTCTGGAATGCCCTACCTCTGCACATACGTGAAGCACAATCTATTTATTTATCAGCTTTATATTATTGTTTGAGGAAATTTGTAATTTATTTATGTATTTTGGGTAGATATGTAAGTTTGTTTTTATACTCTTATATATCGACGGTGAAGTGCCAATACCTCCTATCTGACATTTTTCGAGAAATTCACTTTTTTATACATTTAAATTTAAGGTTCGAATTCGCATGTCTTAGTAAAACCTCTGAGCTGATTTTTTAACTGTAACAAGATTTATCACAATCTAGTAATACCTTCTAACTAAATCATCGTATCAATTTTATGGCATTACCTCCTAACTTCTAAAAGACTGGTCTATACGTGATCGTAGTTTGGTTCTGAGTGACAAATTAGGACTTCTTCTGTGGCGGTGTACATACCGCACGGTGGGCGAATGAGGGAGGGGTGGAAGAACGGTCGTACAGTTTGAAAAGTCAGTTGGCAGTAATTCCTATTGCGACAAGTTATAGTTTTAACTACGAGTGCCGGAATTATTAAATAAAATATTTTGTTAATGGTGTTAGTAACGTATTGATGAGGTCTAAAGTATAACAGGTAAGAAAAATAAATATATTTTACTACAGGGATAAATAATTTATTCATTTAATTGTAATTATTAAACATTTTATTTATTTTTTTGTTGTAGATAGGATATATTTCTCTTACTTCTTTATTTTGTTTATGTAATTAGGAGGTATCGTTTTACTAATATTTCAGTATAATGTCGCGAATGGCAAAGCGTTATCAGGGAGTTCGAGCTGGACAAATATTAAACATACTTAGAGGACTTGCGGAGAAAACGCAGCTTCAAACATCTTCTAACTCATGTAAGTTTTTTTTTAACTGAACTATAATTTCTGTGACAGGCAAATTCTAGGTTTGACTCTGAGGAATTATAGGATTTTTCGTGTTCCAATGTTTTTGTTATCACTGTTTATCGTCTTTTCAGATATACCTGAGCAATTGTTACCTGAAAAGAAAACAAAAGCCTCTACGAATGATTGCCTAAGACCAAAGAAGAGATGTAAAATTACTAAATCGTATTCACTTTCAAACA